TGTGTTGAATCATCTACACTTGCAGTGTGGAATTATCTAAAACCTTTAAAATAGAGACCAAGCCACATTCAAACCATCTACTATTTTAAAAAGACTCAAACTGTATTTATTCGTCTTGGTTTAATCGTACGAAATTGACAATGTCATTTTCTAACCCCAATGGCTTCACCTAATTGTTATTATATTCACTAGCTAAACGGAAAATATAGTATAAATATGCGGGTATTAAGCAAAGGTTTATGAGCAAGCCGCGTCTCTTCCCTCTTCAATCTTTTTAATTTTCCGAAAATGCAGGTTCGTTCTCTTTTTTTACCCCCTTAAATTTTCAGAATAGTTTTAGCAAATTAAAATTGGGGCAATTACAAAAATACCACTTTTTGTGCGTATATTTGCAAAAATACCATGTAGGGGTGTCCATTTACAAAAATGCCACTAATTATAGATTTATAAAGCCTATATCTTAAAATTCTAAACCCTAAAAAATGTTTTGACACATAAAACCCCCTAAACACTCAAAACTAAACCCTAATAGAACATAATTAACTCAAACATAAATAATATAAAGAAAAAATAATTTTGAAAAAGTGACATTTTTAGAAAAATTTCAAAAGTGTGGCATTTTTGTAAAGTGGCACTTGAAAAATGACATTTTTTAAAATTTCTCATTAAAATTTCGCTGGTATTAACCGTAGGAAGTATGCAGAAACATACACACATATATGTATATTTAATAAAGTTATTGCTTATACAATAAACTGTATAAAGTTTGTTCAAATGTTAATTTGCAGGAAAAAGTTGTTTTCCAGTTGGAAATGATTGACCAAAGAACCAAACAGAAAGCGATGAAAGTTGTCTGTGAGTTTCCAGGTACAATCGTTATATTAAACTAAATAAACCAATTATGTTAGGCTAAAAACACAATTAAGCAATAATGTTTGTTGTTCGTTAGGAGTTACTGTGATAGACGTGAAGGAAAAAGGTAAACTAAAGGTGACAGGAGATTTTGACAAGTTTGTAATGACCAAGAAACTCAAAAAGATATGTGATTATGTTGACATAATCGCGGTTGGACCAGATGGAAAACCAGATCAAATTCAGAATCCGGTTAAAAAGCCTGAACCAAAAGTGACTAGGCCAACCACATCTTACCCTCGTCGGAAACCAGGGCCATCTCAGAACTCGGATGCTTGTATTATCTTGTGAATAGAGATACTATTTCAAGTTTATTACCTTTCTTTTAAAGGAATCAATCTGAGGTGGTGATCGGTTAGGGATCCATGGACCAGAATTTCGGATGTTTAATTTTCATATTGTAAAAATGTAGTTTGTCTCCTTATTTGTAATAATTATGTGGTGTTTCGTTACATATCTGAATTCTATTTTAATATTCGATCATCCAAATTGTGTTAGTTGCGTGATATCGTTTTGTTCATTGAAATTTAGTTGAAGATTGATTCTTATTGAAAATTATAAACCCAAGCTCATCAAGATCGTGGCATTCATAAGCGACTTTTTTCTTTCTTTCGGATATCGGAATATGGACCTTAA